TTTTTTTTTTTTTTAACTTAACATTTCTGTTGAATACTGTTTTTTATTGCCAGGTATATTTTATTCTTCATAATATTTGTTGTTTACTTATAATAGACTTTTTTCAGTAAACAAGCGGAAGAATACAAAGTGAGATCTACAATTTGTTATGGAGAAGATACAGTTGATGATGCCACATTTGCGAATTTCAATTTTGATGAACGTTTACTAAAGGTTTGTTTCTGAATGTTACTACTTCTTTCTGTATGTAGGCTTTTTCAATTTCTTCATATCTTTTTTTATCTCTTCTCATTTATCATTATTTTTGTCTCTTATTATTATTATTATTATTATTATTATTATTATTATTATATTATTATTATTATTATTATTATTATTATTATTATTATATTATTATTATTATTATTATTATTATTATTATTATTATTGTTTATTATTATTATTATTATTATTATTATTATTATTACTATCACTATTGCCATTATCATTATTACTATTATTTTGATTATTGATATTATTTTTATTACTGTTCTCGTTATACCCGAATCTGGTGGATTGCAATGATAGGTTCTCTCTAATTTTATCGTACTTAAGGCAGTTGCTGAAATTGGATGGGAAAAACCTACACAGATTCAGCAAAATTTGATTCCTCTCATACTGGAAGGGCAAAATGTTTCTGCGAGAGGTAGAACAGGGAGTGGTAAAACTGGAGCTTTTATGCTTCCAGTTATTCAAAAGATCATCCAGCTCACCAGTGTTAGTTCTTCATTATTCTTTATCTTATAAGAGGGTGTTTCAGTTATTGAGTTTTTGGACAAGGCTTTATCCTTTTTTCTTCCTGCTTAAGTTAATACTTGAACTTTATAAAATAAAGTAGAATAGTGCGGAGAGGTCTAAAGACAGAATGTTTGGGAAAGGTTTTGTTTCATGGAGGCTTTTTAGTGTTTAATGAGCGCTTAATTTGTAATTTTTTTATCAAGATTCAACGGTACAAGTGATTTCAGGTTTCTGGTACGGATCTTGCAGGCCCTTTTGCTTTGTTCGTCACTCCTTCAAAAGAACTAGCGGCACAAGTACGGTTGTCAATCATAGTAGTGAAACCTTTTTTTAAATTATACTTTGAATACGTTTCTTAAAGTGGAAATTTTCAGAGGCTAGTAAAAAACAGGACTCTTTTAGGTTTTTAAACTGCTCCAACAGTTGACGTCAACTTTTCCTTTTTTACTGTCGAAAAACTATGCTGCTCTTGATTCTTCAGACGAAGAAGTTTGGCTGAGGGTATTGACTGATTTTAAAATTTCTTCTAGTTCTTGGAATAATTTTCTGACCCTTGCTGTTGAAGGAAAGACCCGATCTTTTGGTTTCAACACCAGGTCGTTTACTGCGAGTGTTAGAAAAGTGTAATGGCTTTTGTGCTGAAGTTAGATGTGTTGTTTTGGATGAAGCTGATCTGCTTCTTTCTTACGGATACGAGGAAGAAATGAAGTGATTTTTACTTTTAGTTTTATAAAAATTTTGATTAGGGCTGCTGTTGTCCTGAGCGATCTAACTTTTCAGGAAAATTAAAACTTTTCTGCCTCCTCATTACCAAGCAGTCTTTACTTCTGCAACATTGTCTGAGGATTTCAGTGTTTTAAAGACGACTTTTGCCAATGGTCCTGTTGTAACTCTTAAACTTAAGGTAAGCTAAAGCATATGTATCAGTTTAGCTTCTGCTTCAATTTTAGTAATACAATATTTATTTGGTGCTACTTATGGGAATTAGAAGGGAATTAGTGTCACACATTGTGAGTGATGTACATTTTTCTTTTTAGGAAAGTCAACTTCCAGACAACAAACAGCTTTTACAATACTTTGTAAACTGCCAGAGCGACGAAGAACGTTTTACTGTATTCATTGCTCTGATAAAATTAAAGCTTTTGGTTGGCAAAACAATAGTTTTTGTTCGTGATACAAATCGTTGTTATCAGTAGGTTCTTTTTTTCTTCTGAAGGTTACTAAATATTATCTTTTTCACTTTTTTATGCGCTTCTTTAGTGGAAATTTTTACCTTTTTTTTTTGTTGTGAAGCTTTTGACTGTTAAGCAATAGAAAGGGATTAATTGTTGTTATTTCAAGATGTGATGTCTTAACTTTCAGGCTTGGATTATTTTTACAAGCTTTTAAAATATGGTCGTGTATTTTAAACTCGAATATGCCTGTGAACAGTCGTTGTCACATTGTGCAAGAATTCAATGAAGGGAAATACAATTTTGTTATCGCTTCAGATATTAGTGATATGTTTATGGCTAAAAGTTTGGAGGATGAGCAAGGCGGAAAAACGGTGTAGATTATTTTATTTGCTCTTTTAGTAAAGGTTTTGATTATAATTTGGTAATACCATTAAAATGAAGTTCTAGCGGCTAATTGACTTCATATTTTGTTGATGATTATTTTTTTATGTTTCTCTGTTAGAAGGCTTTATGATTTTTGGTAATTTTTATCTAGCTTGTTTTCATAAAATTGTTGTTCTATCATTTTGTTAAGCATATATTCATTGCAGACCGGAACTAATCAGACTTCAATAAGGAAAGGAAAAAAAATAGATAAAGAGTCTGGTGTTTCAAGGGGAATTGATTTTCATCAAGTGTCCAATGTCATCAATTTCGACTTTCCACAGTCAACTGACTTATATATACACAGAGTAGGAAGGTGCAGAGTATTGCACTTGTTTCTTAACATTTACTTTTTCCTTCTCGAAATTTTCCAGTGAATGGATCTAATTTAGAACTGCTCGTGGATGGAATACTGGCACTGCTCTATCGTTTGTTGGCCCGAAAGAGAAAGAGTTTTTTGAAGTAGTACACAGTGGACTTAAAAAACAGATGGGTCATGAAATTATTGTGCCATACGAAGTTCGTATCAAGGAACTGGACTCGTTTTTATTAAGGACGCGGGTAGTTTGGCGTTAAATGTTTCCCTTCTCACACTTCACTGTCTGTATCAAAAAAAATTTTTTGGAAGCGGCATTTCATCCGATTGCTTGGTTAGAAATGCATGATGCCTCATCTGATATCTGTTATTTATATTTAGGAGGCGTTAAGGGCGTGCACTAGATCTGTTATAAGGGAAGCACGGTTAAATGAGATTCGCCAAGAAATTTTGCGGTCAAAGAAACTTGAGGGATATTTTATTAAAAACCCTCGCGAAAAGATAGCTTTGGAACATGACAAGAAGCTATTCTCTATTTCTTTGCACAATTCTGCCTTTTCTGACGTTACAGATTAT